CGAGGACTACTGGAGGACAAACCATCTTTGTGCATGATTGATTAATTTCTGTATGCTTTTCTTGTCAGTAAAAAGGAATAAAATTATTTTTCAATGAATTTTTAACTATTATAACCTAGAGTAAAAAAAAAGAAGAAAATTAGTTTCTGCTATGAAAAGACAACACTGAAGGCATAAGACTAACAAAGGATATAACAGGGTACACATTAGTGAAAGGAATCCATGAATACTTGGCAGTAAATAGCAACAACATTGAATATTTATTTCAGCATATAGCAAGTAAGGCAAAATACAATACCTGCTCAAATGTTCAGCCATTCTCTGCCAGAGCAATTTTATTTAACACCACACTGTGCCTCATCTTGCGTTTTTTATATTCATCATCACTTTGAAGGATACTCAGCAGAAGAATAATATGTGATTCTGCAACAAACTGAGCCTGACTGCTTCCATGTATGTAACTCTGTAAAATAAAAATGAAAAACAATCCTCTTTAAAACAAAGAAATCCGCTGAAAATGGCACAACTGGATATGTGAGAATAAAACTAAAACCCATTTTGCGGAAAAATGCAGGCAGCAACAGCTAGAAATTAACAGCACAGTTCATGTATGTATGTTTAGTAAAAAGGAGTGTTAAAAATAGTATATTTAGGCAAAGCATGTATATACAGTGAATGCAGTGTTTCAAATATTACATTATTACTCTTTTTCACGCTGATGCTACTGCGGAATAAAGGACATACATTTATTTGCTTAGGAGATACAATTTTTGAGAAGGCAGGTGATGAAATCAAGGGCATGCATCAGCATGGCTTTTACAAAAGTGAAAACTGAACCCTGACTTTAAAAAAAACAATTCGACTTTAGTCTTTCTCAGATTGAGTGAAGTTTCCTTATACCAAGTATATTTCATTTTTCTCTTCATAAGGTACAATTGTGTCCATCAAAGATCCTAATTTGTAAACTGTCTTGTTTAAATGGATATGTTGTGAATGCAATAACAGAGGTTAATACTAAGCCTAACACAGCCTACTTCCCTCTTACCCCAAATAATTATTGTTAACGGGTTCCCTTTGTACATTTATTTTTAAAAACTTACAGCACAATAGTGAAAAGCTGTTAGTATTTATTGTTAACCAGCTATGATAACAAAAAACAAGCAAAAATTTGAAGGACTGCAAACATGCACAAAATGAGGCAGATGCTGTGTCTTCCTCTACTATATCAATTACAAATATTGAGTACAGTTTGTCATACTATTCTATGTGAAATTAATTATGTCCATGTTTGCAGTGTATTATTTACATATATTCTTCTTAGGCACAGATACAATTTTTTACCCCAACTGAACAGACGAAAAACGCTCACACCTATTAAGATAAAGAAACAGGAAACTTTTTGCCTTCCTTATAGATGCAGGGTTTTGTTAATTTGTTTATTTTTTAAGTCATCCATGTTGCTTTAATTCATTTTATTTTGAATAATTGTGGTGGAATACCACCCTTGTCATGATTCAGAACAATTCAGATTTGAAATACAAAAGAATGCCTTTTTCCACAGTAGTTAAGCTCTGATTATGTGGTGTCAGATCATGTATTTCACAAGAAATTATAGAAGTTTTTCCTCAGTAGATGGTTATCTATTGCTTTCAGAATTCAATCATACTATGCTCATTCAGATAACCAGTTCAGCGCTAAACCAGGCAAGACCTTCATGTATCTAAAGATTCCATCTCTCAGAGATATATTTTTTCTTTAACAAGATAAAAATCACTGATCTAATAAGAATATCTCATTGCAATATGATCTGACAATGAGCCAAACTGTATTTCTTGGGGTTTTTTTGCATGCCTTCTTATAAATCTCACAAAGGCTAAATATACATATGTATATATACACACACACACACATATATATATAACACAAAGAAAGGAAAAATATTTCACATTAATAAAAATTAATGACAAAGTTAAAATGTTTGGTACACTGTGTATACTGACTCAGATGTGGCCTCAGTCCTGTGAATAGTGACCTTCTGTTATTATTTCTCATGCACCTAAAGCAATATATATATGCATAGGCATATAGAAACATCTGCAGGATCTGGATTCCAGTGTGCCTAACAAACAGTAAACATTCATTTCTTTTGATCACAGCACAAAGTTATAGTCTAAAACTTACAGTGACTACAATATATATTTTGTATTTGTTATTACAATGGGAACTGAAATAATAAATGAGCCTTTCATCAGAAAAGTGTAACAGGGTTTAGTAGCCCTAATCAGTTATTAAATACCTATATGCATTTATACATCATCACTACTACTATTTCTCTACACACATGTTAAATTGAATGAAAATGTACATTGGGAACTAAAGACATATACTCTATACTGAAGAGATATTATTATTATCACTGATTAATAAAACTGGTTGTCACAGGACTACTAGGACTATAAATGCCTTATGTATTTGTAAAACATTTAGATGAGAGATGTCATTTTTATTCTTACACTTTATACTTTGCTAAAGTAAATTACTTTTAACTTCCTCTTATGGTAGCAATTTAATTCATTGTAACACCATTGAAAGAATAGAATCCAAAGTTTGCACATAAACAAACATACATGCAGACACTATATGAAAAAAATCATTACTTTCCTCAAAACAATGTGCTGACATTATATTGTTTAGCTTTCTTCCTAACAGGGACAAAGAACCTCACCCCCAAAAAAGGAAAATTTTACGGTAATCCTCCTGCTGACAAAAATCTGTCCCACAGTGGGGACGAATCACATTTCAGGTACTAGTCTTCATCACTCAGCATAGTAACTGTATTTAAAAATATCATTCAAGTTTGTGTGACTTCTGGTTTCACTAAGAAATAACAAATAACTACAAATAATTTTTTAATGAAATAGCACAGTTTCATAATCCTGTAGCTGTCAAATCCATACGGTAATGATGTTTTTAAAAATGCCAGCTAATATGCTCTCAGCTCAGAAAATTTCAAGCATGATTTCTCAGTAGCTATTCAGACTTGAAAAAATTGACAGAAAAAATCACGTAAGCTGAGGATGATCAGAGTTTGCAGTAAATTGTTTACAATACTGTCCATGTAGACTACTCAAAATGCAAAGCTGAAAGGCCACAAAGAAAACACTAAAACGCATAAAAAAATAACTAGATCACTACTGGTCTTTTAGTCATATTCTGATTAAAAAAACTTAAGGCAAAATTTTATATGTTACAGTAGTAGTTAAGTGATTCAGTGTAATACTCTAACAGGGTTGGTATCACAATAATATAAGGTTGCAACTGTTGGAAAGACATTCTCAGAAATTTCTCATTAGAATAACAGAATCATAGAATGGTCTGGGTTGGAAGGGATCTTTAAAGGCCATTTAGTCCAATCCCCTTGCAACAAGCAGGGACATCTTCAACTAGATCAGGTTGCTCAGAGCACTGTCCAACTTGATCTTGAATGTTTTCAGGGATCCGGCATCTATCACCTCCCTGGGCAACCTATGCCAGTGTCTCGCCGCCCTCATGATAAAAAGTTTCTTCCTTATATCTAGCCTAAATCTAACCTCTTTTAGTTTAAAACTAACACCCTTTGTCCTTTAAAACAGGTCTAAAATGTTTGTCCCCATCTTCCTTGTAAGATCCCTTTAAGCATTGAAAGTCTCCAATAACGACCCCCTGGAGGCTTCTCTTCTAATTCGTTGTTAAGATAGGTAATCTCTGTGATAAAATCCTAAAAACAACAAGAAATTTAGAGCAGAATATCTTTCCCTGCCTGTTGGTTAAATTAACAAAGTAATTAGTTTTATTACATGATGTAAAATATTCATTTTTATATCAGGATTTGACCAGTTTCTCAAAAGATAAAAGTCCTTAAGAAGACAAAATAATGAAAAGAAAGACAGTCTCATTATCACTATTAATTAGGTGAGAGATAAGAGTCCTAGCTGCCAACTAATTCTCAGTATAATGAACTAGATAGATACAGTTTATTTGCAAATGTGGAACTTGAGCCAACCAAACAAAAACCTAAAACAAAAAAACCCTGACTAGAAGACCTGAACCAGAGACTGTAATTTGAAAACTGGCAGATGAATATGAATTTCTGGCTAAATGTCTCATAGGGATTAATGCTGTAATCATATTTCTTTAAATGTAAGTTGCTAAAGGCATAGCCTTGCTTGCAAGGAAGTGGATGTTCTTTGATTTAGTTCTGGAAATGTTACATGTACATTAAAAAAACTAGTAAGAAACAATTGTTACATACTGCTCTCCTCCCAGAGAGAGGACAGAAATGGCTAAAAGCAAAGTGAGTAGCCACCTTAAAGACAAAAACTAAGCTTCATCTTTGTTTGAGAGGGCAAGAGATCTCAGATTAACAGGAAGAGTTAACCAGTTCAAAGCCACTTTGTTAAAATATTAAATGAGGCAGATGTTTACTGTCCAGTATTGACTTTAAAAAAAATTAAAAACTTTAACTGTTAACTTTACGTTTTTACAAGTGTCCTTAGGTAGATTTTTCTTTACAGTTAACTAGCAATAAATCTGCATATGACCAATAGAGTCCTCAAACTGCTTCCACAAGACATTGTTCTTCAAATAATCAAAACAGCACCATGTTGCATCTCCTCTATAGCTGTGAGTCAGCCAGAGCAATGCTAGTGAAGTATATAAAGTGGCAGACTTTTCTAGGGACGAAGGATAAGCAAAGCAATTTGCACTTCACAGCATATTGTGAATCACATGAATTTACGGCAGTACCTCACCCCATTTCTTATGAGGAATGGATCTTAACCACTTCACAAAGGAATTACTGGTTCTGTTTTTTCCCCAATGCACTTTCAGACCTACTTTCTAAACAGACAAAAAAGAGAGTAGAAGTTTTCAGAAGATAAAGCTGTAGTACTCAATGTAAAAATTATGACAAACAGTTTTTCTTGAAAAAAAAATGGTGAGAACTTTATGGCGTTTGTCCTTGTGCTCTTCCCTACAGGCATATGAAGATATATCGTGAGGCCAATTGAAGCATAGATTATATTTGTACTGATACATATTTATGCTAACGTACCCCCACACACCAGTTTTGTGCACTGCAATGGCCACTGACTCATCAAATTTTGAAATTCATGGACATCTGGGACTCATAACAGAATACATTTAAAGACACATTTTTAAAGGAATATTGAAGAATTAGCTATTTATCAATGCTCAAGGTAAAGAAAGGATCTGGTCACATGAGAGGTTTCTTTATTCTCCTATTACTTCTTTCTTTCTATAAGAAGATTGCTGAATGACCTACATGCAAGGCAGATATTCTCATAAAATTTTATTTGAAGCTACAAACTATTAATACACCAAGAAGTGAGATTTCTGTTTTGCTATCATTTCTGCTTTTCGACACTGAATCCATTTAATATTTGGAAGCTCTGAGAAGCCTATCTGGCTGCAAATGCTCCAGGCAAATGCTTTAAATAAATTCATGAATAAACTCTGTCTTTCTCTTTCATTTTAATAATATCAAGAGGGAGGACTATGCGAGATGTGAAGATAAAGTCTATCAGAACAGAGACAATCAAACAGAGCAGAAACCTTTACAGCCACACAACTACTGCTGCCACACAAGACATGCAACAGCAAATGCTTGATTGGTAGGACTAAAAGGGGAACCAAAACCTGAGTAACTCACTTTGAACAACCAGTTCTTTTCCAACTCCAACGTTCTCCTGTCTCAAGTCAGGTTTCATAGAAGCTATTTGAACAGTGAACTGGAATAATCACATCCCTAGATCAGGCAATTTTCTTTGGCAGTGACAAAAAACTGTTCAATGTACGCATATTTTTAAAAAACTGTATTAAATATTTATCTACTATTCATAAACTCATTAAATATTTTGTGTTATGGAACTGCAGATGGTACATATAGGCATGTAATACCACACCAGGATAGTAAAGGATAACAGCAATATAATATACCTTTAAATTCCCCTAAATGCAGAATGTGCTTTTTATTTCCCTTCAAGAGTGCTAGTTGTCATGCCTCAGTAATATACTTAAGTATAAACTGTACTCTTCCATTCCTTTCTGTTAATGCAGTGTAAGTAAACCAGAAACAAAGTAAGTGGAAATAAGGCCTCTGTGAGATGTGCTAATTCTCAAGGTAAGGAGAATTTGTGGAGTGCCCAAAATTGAAATGTGATTTCAGGTGCTTCAGTAGTCTTAAAAAAAAAAAAAAATCACTGTTTATTTTCCATTAGTATGTACATGAAGGATGCTAGGATAAAGGGAGCTGATTAAACTGAGTTGGGTTTAGCAATAGCCTAAGATAAAAAGCTACTTCATGAAGTATAATCATTTTGGATAACTGAGAAGTAACTTGTCCTGAGTTTATGAGATATGACATGCATCTAATAAAAAGTGTATTGAAAACAAATTAAAAGCAGACAATTTTGCTAATAATTATTCATAGTGATAAGATGAACTTGGACTGTATGTTGAAGAAACCCCTAGATGGAGACTGTCCCCTGAAGGAGACAACAGGCCAAGTTCAAGCTAATATATCTAGAAAGAAATGAAGCAACACAGTAGTTAACTGCCCCAAAGAGAGACTTTTGAATTCCACACCATTAGGATAAATGTTATTAATCTTTTCTAGTCTTCTTTTACTGCATTAACATTCAGGGTGAAATTCATCAGAGAAAGGAATATTACAGAAGGCCATGGATTACTTAATTATGATCGAGCCTTTGGAACGGCATTTTTAATTAAAGACCACCAATTTTGCCAAGAACGCACGTTAGATATAAGAAGTTGTTCTTTTAACTTAGAGAAGGTTCTTTTTCCCCTTTATCAATTCAAATTTATATGTTCTCCAAGTCCAGGAGTACTATGACTTTCAGCAGTCTTTAAATGTTTAAAAAGTGAAAGTTCTAAAATATTCTCTCACAATATCATTACACCACCTTATCATTTTAAGTGTGAGTGCAGAAAAAGATTAAACATTTTATGGAGAACAAATAATTCATTCAGTAAAGCAAACACTTTGAAATCAAACATCAAGGTATATTAATGAATGTTTTATTCTGTGATTTCATGATCTCAACTACATTTCTTCAGACAGGTTTTCTTCTATGTTAACTATGTAACACTTCAAAAGCACCTTAAACTGCCCAGCAAGATTGAGAATAAAATCTTATGCAGCTCAAAAGCCCTAGCTTTCTGACTCTGTGATTGCAGCTATCTATTGAAATATTATGTTTTGTAAAAACAGCATAGTTTCACATAGCTTCACTTGAAGCATGCTCTCCAAATATGCTTATTTTATTCCTACATAGTAGTATCTGTTCAGCTCATACTGATCAGAGTTTTAACTTGCTTAAGGACGCAGTAGAGGACTTCCTATGAAGTTATTAGCCTAGGCAGGTGTCTATGAAAATCTGAAATAGAAGCTTAATCTAATTCCCTGCATTCTTTCCATCACAGGAGATACTATTACCTGCTGGGGACAGCACATGTACAGTGACCTATTTTCCCAGTAGCAGCCAGCCCTCAAAAGCCTTATTGTGACCACTGATGTGAAAAAACATGAGATGATGCTGGTTTGGGCCTAAGTTATTCACATGTGAGAATGGCTACCAACTTAGAACCTCTGTTAGTACAGGGATATGATTTAACGAAATAATTATAAACCTTTTTTTGCGAAAGAGGACACAGGACCCAGTAATATGGGTATGAGTTTATTTTACAGAATTTAAACAACACTGAAACTGAGTAAATAAATATATGAAATCTCATCTCAAAAACTAAAGAAATGCAAAAAGTCTTGACTGGTTCATTTACTACACAGCTCAGAAACCTCTGACAAGTCTAATCACATACTAATGTCCAACAGTTAGGATAATGTACAAGTATTTATTAGGGCAATTTCTTTTATTGTAGATACTCAGATATAAAAGAGATATCTGCAAGTGATACTTAATGGTTTCAAAATTTAATGCAGTATTAAACACAAAACTAAATCTAAAGTCTGTTCTAACATAAATGATTTTGCATTTCTGGTGAAATGAAAACCACATATGACAGTAAGAAATGTGAAGTCAGCTATTTGAGACAATATTTTTCCATGAATCTTCATTTTACTTAATAATCAGAAATACTCTAATTTAATACTAAGCCACTTGAAAGAAACAATTTCTTTTGAACAGCTACTAGCTTTATGAACACCTCCAACTCAAATATAAGCCAACTTGATGAAAATTTCATGTATTATATTCCTAGCAAGCACTCTCGCTAAGTAATGTCTCTAAATGAAATCCAATCCAGCTCAGTTATAGACCAGCAAGACCAGGACTAACAAAATAGCTGAAGTGCACATACCAGCACACACAAAATGGCAAGGGACAGAACTACCCGAGGTCTTAGTTATGCACTTCTAGTGATTTTATTCAGCTTACACTCAAGCAATTGACTCTAAAAAGTAGTAGAATACCTAGGAAATCAACATTGGACCCCCCAAATAAAACTCCTTGTATTTATAACTGTCTCAGCATCCTTGGTGTGATAGTTAAAGTAAGTGTGAAGAAGAAGAAGTCTTCTCACTGATTAAACATGACCATAAATCATATCAGCCACTTTTGATAGGAGAGTTTATTAGCTATGGATGAATTTAATCCTTCTAAAGAAATATTTAATGCTGAATTTTTAGAGAGTTTATATAACACAGATACACACAACAATCTCATATAGATTCTTATATATTAATTAAATGAATATGAGCTACCGTGCCTGAGCTCACTGCTGTGTTCACCACTGCCTAACCAAAACTGAGTCAAGAGACAGCAACCAGTTTTCACAAGGCTGTCTGGCTGGAACAGGCTGTGCTGGCTGCCTTCTACAAATGCCATCTGGCATCAAGCACAGAAAATGATCTGGGTTTCAGCCCTAGAGCAAAAATGGAGAAATGCTGCCTTACTTTAGCAGACTAGCAGGATGAAAAGGGTAGCTGGTATAATTTAAAACAGTATTATAGAAATTCTGGTTTATGCCACTGCTTTGGTTGTTCCTAGGCAGCTTTTATAGCTATGTTGCATTATTTAGGGTGTCTAGAAGTGCTATCAAAGGAGTCAGCTAATCAAACGAGTCTTGCAAATCCAGAAACTGTGAACTCTGCTCAGATATACAGAAGCTTTGATACAACCTGCTGAATAAGAATTAATTCTGAGGGACTTCTCCAACATTTATTAATCACAAAATAATAAGATGACAAAAAATGCAGCAATCCTTCAAAGAATCTTTACTTTGTGGGGTTTGGAAAAACCACAGAACTTAAACTCTCATTAGGAATAAAACATTGGTACCCTTATTCTTAGTTTCCAAATTACTTAATGGATTGGCATGGAAAAAATGCCTTCCCTCTGACTGGGCATTACAACACACAGTACCCAGGTGAGAGACTTTTAACAGAGACCAAAATGTGCAGGATCTCTGAAACAGCATTCGGGTAGTTTGGGGAAGTTTGCATGACACAGCTCAGCCTAGCAGTCTAAGGAAAGGAAACTTGCAACTGTGATGCCTTGCTTAACAACTTGACTCCTTTTTAATCAATTTAAGAAAGATGGGAAAAAATTCTTACAGAAAAATGACCTTCCTACGTATTTCATCATAGTCGGAAAACCAAAGCAGTGCTTCTAATGAAAGAAAAGCTGGGATTAAAGTTCAGCTGTTAATAGTTGTTTTGGAGTATGGACTGCTTGCTTAACACATGGAAGCCAAAACACGATACTCCTAATTAGGAAACAAAAGAAACTGAGATTTTTTCATGAACAGAATTCATCTAAAAACGCAAACACTTTGGTAATAAGAACTATTTTCTGAACTCCCAAATATCTCTTTAGTTTTTGCTCTCATTCTGATGCTAAGCATCATATGGGATATATCTCATTGGTCTTAAAAAAGCCCAAAACAGTCTAAGGTAAAATACGCACCTAGACTGCTGCCATATACCTATTCCACAGTGTGGGAGTGTGATGATCTTCACACTACTGGTGTTCTGAAAATGAGTGGTCACGGCAAAACAAGAAAGACAGCTACTGTATAGTACACCATAAGTTTTCCTTATAAATTACAGAGATGGAAGAGCTGAAATAGCCATTCAGCTGAGCTCATGTTGTTGGTGTTATTTAAATCATGGTTTAAAATATATATGTAAAATATTTATGAACTCAGAAGATGTTTTTAATTTCTTAGTCAGGACCTGTGATATTTTCTCTTTTGAAATTTCAAAGTGTTCTTTCTATTCCATTTCAAGCTGTGAGGTAAAAAAGGCAGTTTCACCTGAATACTGAAGTGCTGGAAGCAGAAGTGAAGACAGACAGACTTTACTATGACACTAGTTTCCAAACAGACTATACTGAAATCAAACAGCTGTGAAAACACACACACACACACAAAAAAGTGCAAATTCCAAATTACCCCAAAGCTACAATCCAATTAACAACAAGAGGGGAATGTGAGAATAATCCTGTGTTTCATGTAATTATTTTCCCCAAGCAAAATGGTCACTGCCTCTAATTCTGCTACAGAGAGTTCAAGAGATATGTTTTAAGATGTTCCAGGTACAGGTTTTGCGATGACAACTGACTGCAAATTTCACAGTAAATAAAGTCAATTTTTTTTGGATTTGTAATTGCAGAGAAATTTGTCCAGTAGAGGGGAAATATCTCTATATTTGGAATGTAGCTTTTTTAATGCTAATTAACTAGGGAGGTGAGACATACTAGGCAGGAGTGAATAGGCATGCAAAATTGAGCATGAAAAATTAGTCTATATGACTGAGTAGTCAGGTACATGCCATGCTAGTCTTTCTTGCCAAAGCAATTTTTAGTACCATCTGAAGCACAGCCTGTGTAGCAATTTATAAACCTTAACACTTACTTTAAAAAGAGGTATCTAAGTGAACAAAGTATAAAGTAACATTCAACTGATTGAATTTAAAAGTTTATTTCTTGAGTAGAACTGTAGGCCTCTGAACTCCTTTCAAACTACACTTTAGTGAACACTGGATTATTCTTGAGAGAAAGACTACAGCTAATTGCCAAAACTAGAACAAAAGAAAATGAAGCTGTAGCTGCCATTATGGGCCAAAGTCACATTTGTAGTAATATAGTGGTGTATGGCTATTTGTATGTCAGAATTTTTTTCTTTATAATAGCAACAACAAAATTATATTTGTGTGACACACATAACTGTTTCAAATACCATGAAGTTTTATCAAGCAAGGTTTATAACATATTTTTTATTACATATCATATAGCAGAAACACTCATATATATGGCTGCACATCCTGGAGTTTTATATCCTTATATCCTTTGCCATTACGTGATGGTAAACCAAAATAAAACCTTAAGAATTAATATTCTTTATTAAAAACAATTTTATGTATCAAACTATGCAAGTACATAAAGTATCAACATCTAAGTCAGTGAAAAGGGCAAATCATTTTCACTACCACAGGGGTTTTGTTATTCTGTTCAGATCTAGGTGTAATTTATCATCTGAAATTGTTGTAATAGGGTATCATTTCAATTATCTAAAGCTCTAAATCTGACATTGTAGCTTCATTACATAGTCTCACTCCACAGCATTACATATTAATATTACTCCTGGGATAAAGAGAACATCTCATCGAATTTTTTAAGAAAACAGAATTTCAGGCTGGCATGCATTAATTGAGAGAAATTTATTTACACTCTTTCTTCAAATCTTGCTTGTCCAAAACATTTTTTCGGTGTGTTGTTTAATTTCTCTTCTCCTCATTCTTCTACAGGCCAACTTAGTAACTTTAACTATAATGGAAAACTGAAATCTACATGAGAGTTTTCTTAATGGAAAAGAGGTATATGCTTATTATTTTCTTCCCAGCACAATCTCTTTTATTTGGTCTTTCTGCTGATGAACATTTAAGATCACAGAGAAGCAGTCATTTGGAAAAGGAGACCATGGAAAAATACAGGCCTCCCAACACAATGGTACAAATACTTCAACATAGAATTGAATGCCTAAAAAAAAGGGTAAACCCTAAATTTTTAATAAGTTTTGCTGTACTGTTTTTAAAATTCCTCTCAGTTTTCTCAAATAAGCCTATGGTAAACAGAATTGTACAGCTCAGTTACTAAAAAATGTTCAGTGTTGCCCAGAGCAATTTTTTGCATGGTATATTAGTTCTAGTTAGCAAATTGGAAGAAGCACTGCTGACATGACATAGAAACTGAGAAAATGAAGCCTTTAGCAGGACAAATTGAGAAAAAAGGAATCAGTCGATGTCTAGAATATAAAATTTGAGAGTAGGCACCCCTGACAAATTGGAATTTATTTCACAATAACAAATGCTTTAAATCCATCATTTATGAAGGCACTTATAGGAGTCACTTATTTAAATTCATTGCTTAATGCACTGGCAGATGCTTCCTAATTATTAGAATGTAAGAGTTTGAGAACATTTTTTCAAAGGATGTGCTATGCCATTAAGCATCTTGTACTTCAGCAACTATCAAATTTGTGATGATGTATTTTATAAAGTTATGTTTATGATGGCAGGCATTCACTTAATATACCATAAAAACCAATAGCTAAAAATTTTACGTTATGACACAAAACCTCAGACCTATTTGCTGTGTTATCCTTAGCAAGTATTCCAGCCGGCAATGAATACAAATCAAACGCTGCTGTCAGCAAGATGAGTTGCATTTCAAGTTCCTTCCATCAGCTGTCTCCAAGAAAAAAACCCAAATAGTGAAGCATAAAAAAGTTCCAGGATTGCAAAAACCAACACAAATCTTATAGACATTTAGAATTATCATTACATTCAAGCTTATACTAAATTATCTTAAATGCTAGCTATACCTGGAGGGGGATCAATTGAATGCTGGATGTCCATGTATTTGGAACAAGGAAAACTGGGAATTATATGATGCCAAATGAAAAATTCTCTGAAGATGTTATAGGTGCTTGTTCATATGAGATTTTGATACTTGTACTACAGTATACAAGGAAGTTAAAAATATTCAATATACAAGTACTGAATTGTGATATTGTAGTGTGTTTTCAGCTCAGAAAAGAGAGAATAAGCTTAGCCTTATTCTACAAATACCAGAAGTCTGAGTTATTCGATGCTCAATTATTGTGCCTAGATACATAAAATAACAAAATTGTACTTTCACAACACATTTAGTGTTTCGAAATAATTAAATTACAGGCAATTAAAGTGGACTGAAATGCAAAGTAGAATTTTGAGAGCGGATACAACACCTCATGATACATTATTCTCTTTTCTCTGCAGTAACAGAGAAGAAAACCTGGCTTGGCAGAAAAGAGAGCAGTTTGCAAGTAAGTACCACTAATTTGGGCAAAGTTGAAAACCAAAAAACTTAAAATGTCTCACTTTTTAGAATAGCATATTAATTAACCAGAAAAAGGCAAAATACTGATGTCAACAACAAACTTTACATTAAGAGCATTCATATGTTCAAAGTAGAAACTTCAGGCTGTGATGCCTGAAGTAGAGACGAGAACATACTAAGAAGAAAAGGCAAAGAGCAATGCTGTGTCTCAGGACACTGTAAAGAAGGCAAAAAAGAGAGGAAAAGGCTAAAATAAACAAAAAAAGAAAAAAAAAACAGAGAAGTTAAAATTGTTCAGAAAAATTTCTGAAAAGCTGACATACCACAAAGGAGATCACAGTGAGTAAATCCAGGGAGATGTATAAGGTTTTGAAGGCTTTTATGGGTTAAACTGCAAGTGAGAGATGGAGTAGAACAGAAATATCACTGTAAGAAACCATACAAAGAAGAATCACAACAAAATACTGATTAAGCAAGAAAAAGAATATCACACTGAAATATAAATATAAATGAAATCTAGAATATATATAGAGGTTTTCTTCCAATTAAAGCAAGAATAGAAAAGTTACAGATTTGAAAAAATGTTTCTATTGATGTTCTCAGGCTGAATGGCAGTGAAGTGCTTTCAGTCTATGCAGCCCAGATATGTGGACAACGCTGATATGATTACTAAGACCAGCAGTAAGTGAAAAGAATACAAATTACACAATATTCTTTTGTGCTTGTATTTAGAGCTTTGTGCTGAAGATGGTTCTGAAAAGAATTTATGAAACAATAAAGCCAGAAATACTAATTTAAGAGAAAAAAAATACACTTTATACAAGAATTAAAACATTATTTTAATAATGTTAAAGATATATTTATACTAATATTACTAATAATATTTATTATTATAATATTTCTATATAATATATTGAACCATGGCATTACATTGAATACTCTGCTGCAAAGTTGCAGATATAAAAACATCTGAGTGATTTGCTGTCTAGGAAGGTGCAAAACAAAGCTAGTATTATCTCACCTGTAAAAAGTTGCAATATAGCGAAAATTCTGGAATACTTTTTCTCAGTAATTTTATGTATGCATATAGTGTATGGATTATTTGATCATATGAGGAACTGTAAGAATAGGTCAATAGTATTCAGGTACAAGGAAGAAAATTTTACATCCCAAGACAAAAAAACCCAACCAACCAAAAAAAAGCCAAGGGGGAAAAAAAAAAAAAAAAAAAAAAAAAAAAAAAAAAAAAAAAAAAAAAAAAAAAAAAAAAAAAAAAAAAAAAAAAAAAAGAGTAAGAATCAAAGATTCTATATGAAGGAGAAAAAATGAGTTAAGGACTGTATGTCGTCTAGTAAATTAAGATTTGGAATTGTTCAAATTAAAATTATTGCAGAAGAACAGCCTAACAAACTGATCAAAGATCTGGAAGCAATCTCAGAGAGGTCTGTATTCAAGCACATTTTTAAAAATGCTTCAGTTATGAACATTTATGTCATATTTTAGGTGGCTTATGTAGTTATAAGTTTAGCATTCAGTTACTTTTATATATCGCAGTTCCAGATGACTGAGTTCCTTGAGAACATTCACAAACTTTATCAGTTTTGAAGTCATTAAATATTATTTTCCTCTCTTCTTGGCGTGTAGAAAGGTCTAGGTTCTATATTTTAAATTATCGACATTACAGTTGAACAACTGTATTTTAAATTTTCTGTTAAAGAAGTACTTTTCCCCCAACCTTTTGTTCGAAGTCAAAAACTTTTTTACTCTATTTGTGACACTCATTATTTTAACACAAACAGTGATTTCTCTGAGTATCTTTTAATTAAAAAAGAAAAAGAAGAAAGTTTGATACACACCTCTCTGGTTTATACACAGCATGAAGCCCTAGTTAAAAAACCTCAAGGTGACTTTGACCTAATCAGATTTTCAATCCCATGATACTTGTAGAAAAAGTTTCTTTGTATCTGAAATAATTTGGGTGAAATGCTGATTCAAAAGAAGTCAATAAGCATTTCACTATTGATTTCAAAAGAGCCAATATTTCATTCTGATTGTTCACTGGCGATAAAATTTCAGAACATTAATATTTAGAACGATATATAATATTGAGTAAGCCGCATAATTGCATAGGAAAAACCATAAAGTAAAACCGTTTACTCTATAGTAAAGAATTTCAATATAACACATTTATTTCTACATAACATTTAGCTGCAGAAGACTACACTGGTCATCACAGGAAAAAAAAGAAATCAAGCATTCAATATAAAAGAATAGGTTCTCAAATAACCTCAGGCAAGAGATTCAGCAAGTAAACTGCCAGCCACATTTTTGGAGGCAAAAAAATGTCTTTCTCCTGAGTTCCTTCTAAATTGACCTAGAGAGTACTTATTTAATGAACCAAAATATGGCTTACACTAAGGGACTGAATGAGAAAAAAATGTAGGGGAAGCTTCATGATATCCTCCTAATGATCCTCATCCAGTCTGGTATCACACACTTAGAATTAGAAGTTTCTTTGAGGTGAGGTCTTTTCTCTGCCCCCTATCAGAATACTTCTTTTAATTTTTACTTTGTTTTTCATCATGAGTGAACTATTACTTGCTTACTCCAAAAGTTAACTAACAGGTGCAGCCCTGACTTTTACTGCAGTGTCTCCCTCAACAAGGAACAGTGATGGCTTAAAGCTACTGTATGTAATGTATGTGCTCACTCTTCTCAAAGATTATGAAGGGAAGAAGATATGATCACACATCAGGAAGAAAAGAGACCATCACAGTCCTCAAAGTACTATCTCCAAGATCTCTCAGCTTCTCCTAGTAGGAGGAGTCTCTGCCAATCCCATCTAAGCACCTTTTTTACGCCATAAAACGCCCTTAAATGATAGGGAATGTAGCCCCTGCCTTGATAAAGTACTCCAAAATATAAGCTACACTAGGAAGTACATTTTTATATCTTTGCCTAAGCAGTTTAAGAGCTCCCTATTACAGAACATCTTTTCTGTTTTCAAGTTTATGTCTCCAGTGATCCATATTCCCTCAAAAGCTAATCTGAACAGTTGGCATGCATTGCGACTGCACGTATTAGCAGGATTACATATTGCTCCCTACCATTCCACATTTTTCCCTTCCTCTCTACACCTTGCTTACTCTAAAGAATGTGAATTAGTATATACACCACATAAATGATGTGAGGGTATTCCAGTGTGACACAAAGACAGCTCTAGTGTGACTGCACAGAAGACTCTTTAATCTTGCAGTAACAATAGAAATCCATTAGCTTCTTTGTAATAACCAACTACTGGA